ATCCAGGAGACAGGTAGGAGTCATCCAGGAGACAGGTAGGAGACATTCAGGAGACAGGTAGGAGACATCCAGGAGACAGGTAGGAGACATTCAGGAGACAGGTAGGAGTCATCCAGGAGACAGGTAGGAGACATCCAGGAGACATCCAGGAGACATCCAGGAGATATCCAGGAGACAGGTAGGAGACATTCAGGAGACAGGTAGGAGTCATCCAGGAGACACTCTGGAGACGTCCTCATGAACTCTGCTCACCTACGACTCTCAGCCTGGTGAATCTCTCCTATCAGGTTGGTTCAGACTTGTTCAGGACTTCTGCTGTGATGGACATGTCCTCTGCGATGGACATGTCCTCCAGACGGTCAGCAGGTGAAGCTTGACCAGGAGAAGACCACGAAGGGAAACATGAAAACATGGAGCCTTRTTGTGAGACCAGCTGCTGCCACAGGAAGTGGCTCAGAGGACAGCTGATCTGTGTCCCCCTCCACAGAGAAAGCAGGAGGTCCAACCAGGTCTGAAACAACCAGAAGACGTCCTGGTGAAGACAGTCCAGCCTACATGGACCTGTTCATAAAGAGTTCTGATAAAAACCAAAACATCTTCAGAATATTTCCAAAGATCAGCAGCTGAGTGGACATGTTGAACCCTGAGACATCCTGAACTGTGTGGGATCAGGTCGGTCCAGGTCCACATCCTACAGCTCGGTTCTGGATGGACTGACTAACGTGGCCCAGATCTCCTGTCAGATGACTGAGGAGGGTTGTGGGTTTAAATCTGCCTCAGAGCATTCAGAACTCAGTCACAACCCTCAGCAAACACCAGATCTGGACCAGGTCTGGACCAAGTGAGAGGGTCTGGACCAGGTCTGGACCAAGTGAGAGGGTCTGGACCAGGTCTGGACCAAGTGAGAGGGTGTGACAGTTATCCTGCACTCGGTTCCATGATTTTATAGAAACACTGAGACAAACCTGAGGACGGGGACAGAGGACATGGGAGGGGACAGAGGACAGTAAGGAGGTCTGGTTTTGGTCAAACTCGTGTTCATCAGCCAGAGACTGATTGTGAGTCCTGCAGGTCCCACAGAGACCTGATCAGCGTGGCTCTGTAAACAAACTGAGACCTCTGCAGAGGGAAAGGCAACACGGTGAGTCCAGCTACACTGAGCTGCTGGATGAGTCCTGCTCAGGTCCTCAGAGCTTCAGAACCTGGACCAGTCCTCAGGTCTATGGAGAGTTTTCACAGCAGCTGCAGTCTGAAGGTCCAAACGCTTTAATCACACCAGATTAGAGTTCAGAGGAATCATTGGGGTTCTGTATGAGCATCCTCCTCTGGGACTTACAGTCGGTCCTGCAGGTCCTGCAGAGGAACAGGAAGACCAGAGTCAGACCATAGTCAGACCATAGT